AGAACAGTCGCAGGCTGGTCAAATAGAGTACGTTAGTGTCATGTCAATGGACTGGACTGGTAACCCGGAGGTTGAGTGTTTGAAATACATTTTAGAAATGTCAGAATTTTAATTCAGTTTAGAAAATCTGGAAATGAAAAGTTTACATTAGTTAAAGTGATCACGAAGGTGGGCAGAAGCTGAAATAGGTACACAGAATGCAAATGTGAGACACTGGGAGGAGGGAAATCTAACAGCACTGACTGTAAATATTTTTTCATGGAGTTTATTATTGCCAGAAAAACCAAAGGCAGCTCTGATGTTGCATTCCATCAAGCATTTGACGTGTTTGACGTCAGCAGTGAAACGATCAAGAACCTTAGAGAGAATTCATCTCGAGTTGTTGTGTTAAATGCTTCAAAGCACTTCAAATAGCACAATTTAATGGGTTAATTAAAATCTCAAACTGTCCTGCAGCCTAGAGTGTCAATGCAACATTGTAAATATCTACTGTCACACAGACTGTGTGCGCGTTGATAGGACATGCAAGCTCAGCATCAGAAATGGTTTCAGCATTACCCCTAATTATGACTCAATGAAATCACACAGGATATCCACAGAAATAGGTTCAATTATGATACATTCCATGGTCAAAAAACATCAGCAGGGAAGGGTATTCCAGTATGAGCCTTATCCAGCATTTACTCTAAGTTTTCCCAAATAGGTGCAGCTCTTGAACTGTTCTCCAAACAGAGCCAATCAGTCGCTCCACGCACATTCACACTAACATTTATGAGGGAGAAATGCCCTACCAGGGCATAATTCCAAAGTCTGCAGATAATATGAAACTCAGAAATATCGTAAACAATGAGGAAGATATAGGCAGACAACAAAGAAGTGTGAAGTGATACATTTTGGTAGGAAGTAAGGGAAGAAGCAACATTAACTAAATGGTAGATTTAAAATTTCAAAATGTGTTGGGTTCAGAGAAACTGCAAGTAAATATATATAAATCTTAGAAGGTGACAGAAGTTGGGCAGTCTAATAAAAAGCATTTGGGATCCTTGGCTTTATTAACAATGGCTGATTTTAAAAGCATGGAAGTTAGCCAAGACTTTACTGCAAACACTTACTATGCCTCAGCTGGATATTGTGTTCAACGTACAGTTAACGCCTTGAAGAGGACGCCAGAGACTTATTAGGATGGTGCCTGGAATAAGAGTTCAATTACACTGTGTGATTGAAGCTGTATTTGTTCTCCACAGAGAGGGTTGAGAGGTGATTTATTAGAGGTATTGAAAATCATGAACAGAATTGATCATATAAATGAGTAGCAAGAAGGCTGGTAACTAGGGAATATAGTGTTAAGGTGAGTGCCAAAAGAAATGACAGGAAGAAACTTTAAAATAAAAAGCGAGATTCAACAATAACATTAAATAGATAATGATGTGAATTAAAAAGATTTACTGAGCTTTGGGGAAAAGCAGAGAAATAGGATCTACCAATAAGCTGGCAGAGGGATGATATGCTGAACAAGCATACTGTTTAATTGTATTGTTCAACAAAGTCATTTACCCGTTTCTAAAGAACATATTTACAATTTTACAGAAAATTACAATGAACAGAGCAGGGGTTGTCACTTGAAGATTCCAAAGAAGTATCATTGCCTCTTTTTGTACAGCCTGCAAGAAGACTACGCAGAAGTCAACCCAAAACTAATGTAAACACAGAAATAACTTTCCAGACCCATGTTCTGTCTCTGCTATTACTGCAAGAAACTGCAAATATAAACTGCGAAAAGAGGACAACCAATCTCACTGCAGCTTTACAGAAACTGTGTTTGTTTGTTCATGGCATCCTTTTTGCTTGATTCCAACTGTGTGTCTGCACCGTTGCTAGTTAGCTGCTAGTATTCAGGCAGCCACTAGATGGTAATACAGAGTGAGTGAGATTCACTTGAGTGGCTTTAGGCTTCACTGCAGAGTCCAGCAGAGCTGACTGCATCTTGTTCACTTAACACTAGCTTATTGTTTCATGCTTTTTCAAAGGTTTTAACTCAAAATGAGGGAGATAAGAAACATGATTTCACCCCATAGTACCCCCACAATTTTTAAAGGCATCTACAGCCCTCTTGGACCTTGCTTAAATTGTCAGTCTTCACATTTAAATCTCGACAATGAGTGTCAGCTTCGCAGCCACAGAGAAGGTAGACACTTGTACCTCATCTATGTTTTTGCACGATCAATTTCTAGTAGCAATCACAAGTGGAACTTACTTTTTGATTCTCCATACAACAGGACAATTCAGTACTGATCAAGAATTAATCACAGACCTATGTAGCTCAGCGGAGAACTGGGTGGTTTCCTTAACAACAAAGCCATCAGTGGCTCTTTTCAGTTAATTTTGCTGCTGTATCACCCCTGGATGTTTGGACCACTGGTTTCTTAGGGAATATACCAATGAATTGGGACTGTAGGATTGAAAGAAAGATCTTCATTTATATAGTGTTTAAGGATATCAGGATGCTCCAAAGCCCTCTGTAGCCAATGAAATACTTCTTAAGTGTTTTAATGTAGGTAATGTGACAACCGTTGCGCAAGGCCCACGAATGCAATCTGAAGATCAAGCTGTTTTCAGTGATGTTGATTGTGGGTTAAACATTAACTGGCATACCATTCCCCATCCCCTAGCCCAAAAGTTTGCCATGGGATCTTTGCATCTGACTGAGAGAGCAGAAAACTGCCCAAATCAGTTGAAAGACATCGAGCTGAGAGAGCAGAATGCCTTCAACGCACCTGAATTTTTTGAGTTCAAATCTCTGGAGTGGGACTCCCTCTCATTTAGAAGGACAGTTCTACCCACTGGACGATGGCAGTGCACTATGCATAGCAACAGCTTCTTCCTCAGCAACACTAACTGACAGATAAATGTCCTCGTCTAGAGACTGGTTAAAATTTGGAACTTGCAAATTTGTAGCTGAGGCAAATAGCACAGATACACTAAAGGGTAAAACTATCTACATACACAGGGAGAAATGAATTGCCCTGCTGCAGTTATAGGTAACCTCTTACAGTCAAGCCTGTACAAATCTGAATAGGAGGCAGGATGACCCACGCATTATTTTGGAGCCTGTGCCTCAAAAGGTGAATTTAAAAAGAGATGGACATGTTTTGGGTTGTAGAGAGGGGAAAGAGTTTTTCTTCAGAGAGTTTACCCTATCCAAATACAAAAACTGTGCTATTCCTATCAGGAAATGTCTTGGTTTAAAGAGTTCATCTCCAACATAATACACTTCTGTAATATGGGTCTTGTGTTTTGCTCTACAGGCACAGTGCACAACAGCGCTTTGTTTTTGCCCGAGAACAGTTCTGTCGGTTTTAACAGAAATCAACATTTCAGACAGTGAAAGCAAACTGACCTGAAGTTATCCAAGACACCTTGCAATCCCCTTCCCAAGTTCTGACCTCACCTACTCACATCCTGTCTAATGTGAGGACCAGTTTCTATCAATGGAGAGAGTCTAGAGTATTTATCTTTGCAAAACTGATTGTCAGATGCCCCTCTGAAACCCAAAAAAGCAAGTCTCTATGCAATTAGTACTACCCACCAACTCAGAAATAAGAAGTAGAATTAAGCCATACAGGACAGTCATGATCCCAATTTAATCCGAATTCTCTACCTTTTCTGCATACTTTTTAATAGGTTTTGGAACCATGGTCACTATTCCTTACTGTTGCTTGGTCAATATTCTGGAACTTCTTCCCTAACAGCATTGTAGGTGTCTCTCCACCAAATGGACTGCAGCAGTTCCAGAAAGTAGCTCATCACTACCCTTTCAAGGGCAATTAAAGATGGGCATGGAATGATGGCTAGCCAGCAACACCCACATCCCAGGAATGAAAAACAATTAAAACAAATATCCTTGGAAAATACTGTGGTTTTTAACATTTTTTTTGGGTGGGGGAAGAAATGGGAACACTTGATTCCTGTCTGCCATTATTTATTATTTCATTATTTCTTCTTGAGGGATATTCAAAAACGTGCACTGCACTTGAAAGAGAAGCTGATTAATTTGAAAGAATACACGTTAAAGATGTTGCATGAATGCATCTCAAATCTCCTTCCTATAGTAGTGTTCATTCCCGGCCTAGCCAAGTAAAGGATCCCGCATTTCCAACCGTTTTCTCCACATCTGGGAACTTTGAAAGTTGCAATCTTGCAGCATGAACACAAGTCAAATAAACTCCACTAGGACTAATTCCCAACTCAGGTTAATCCATTCTTTAGTAATATCAAACTTCCATCAGTAGCTCTTCTCTACAGTAACATTTTTTTTTTAAGATGGTAGCTTGATTGATTTAAAAAAATACACGCTCTGTTTAAAGGTTCTCTTTTTCACAGATCACTATTTCTCAGAAACTAAAAATGCTCATATAAATCCTTTACATATGTGCACCCTCAATTTCTGCCTATCTCAGAAAGAGTTTGACACTTAACTGTTTATTTTCCATTCAACATTACAATACAGGATTCTAGATTTCAAACTCTCCCATTTGTTTGTTTGGTGTAGCCTCATAAAAGATTGCAGTTTATCTACATGTCAGTATTCACCTCATCTCTCGAAAGAGACTCATCTTGTAGGACACTGTTCTACTACTGTAGGACAGCCTCATGTCCCTTGCTTTCTCAGTATATGAACCTGAACAATTAATGGCAGCCAAGCTCCAAATGAGCAATGGAACAAATGCTGCCAATTTCAATCCTGTCTGCACTTAATCTGTCCTCATAAGCAATTTCTGGAAGGATCACAGAGTCATAGAATCCCTACAGTGTGGACTCAGGCTATTTGGTCCATCAAGTCCACATCGACCTTCTGAAGAACATCCCACCAAGATCCTACCTTATTTGATCGCTGCATTTCCCCACCCTAGACACTACAGGCAATTTAGCATGGCCAATCCACCTAACCTGCATACCTTTGTACTGTGGGAGGAAACCAGAGCACCCGGAGAAAACCCACTCAGACACGGAGCGAATGTCAAACTCCACAAAGAAAGTGCCCGAGGCCGGAATTGAACCCAGGTCTCTGGAACTGTGATGCAGCAGTGCTAACCACTGGCCACCGTGTCGCCCATGTCATTGCATAGCATTGTGGATGAGTATTGCTGGGGTACCTACTGGTGCTTTGAAGAAAATCCCATAAACATTTGACCTCCCTATACACCTCAAGCAAAAGTCACTGACCAAGTTGTTAGAAACAGAAACTTGAGTCCATTTTTCCCATTCCAAATCAGGAGCTATTGTAGGCATCCACGACACCCATACTACAATCTAGTCCAGTTACTTGACTCACCATGCCCATGGGTGGTATTGGAGGGTTAAAGCAATACCATTCTGACTTTGTTCCTTTATTTGAGTTTCCACCAAGTAAATACACAATAGTTAGCCTTTTAAAATGTAATCAAGCCTACAGAAATCTTAACTTGAACAGGACATTTATTGGGAAACTACTTTTGGGTTTATCAGGGCATCATTCATTCATTGGCAACTAAAGCATAATTTGCTAATAATCAGCACAAAAGTTCTGGATTTTGAGACAAGGAAGGAAAAAGAGAGAGAGTCAGTACTGTACACATAGTCCATGTCTAGCACAAGAGACCTAGCTTTAACACATTCCCAACAGATGCAATGAAGAAATAGCAGTATAGGCAGTAAACGAAAGGGAATTTAGCACCATATTCAACCAGTTCCTGTGGGTTGCCTCTGAATTACAAGTCAATAACACAACTCAGAGAATCTGTAAAAATAGATGATATGGAAACAGGAAAGTTCGCACTTGATACACTTTGTGGCAGCACATGGTCTGTGCTAGACTATCCTGAGGAAGTGTGCCAAACTAATGTGTCACCCAAGTAGAAAAGTATTCTATTCCCTAGTACAAAACCTCACCAAATATACAAATATGTATATATATAAAACAAGACGAAACATAAATTACTACATCCGTCAAACTATCCATAATTTTAATTTAATCGGGGACTAACAATGAAAAACCTTTCATCTCATCCAATTATAGAAACACAAACGAAAGGGATAAGAAGCAGATTCAGCTGTCCCTACTGTTGAATGGAGGTAAATTACATAGGCCTAGATCCTTTGAAAACCTATGTGGTCTCCTACATCAAAGCTCAATAGGCATCTCAAGCATATCACTGACCCAAACATAGATTTAGTTTAAATGCTGGTTCTGGTGACTGAAAAGACTTGTAAATAAGAGTATTTTTGTTTACAAATAAAAACATATATTTTTCTTCTCTCTCTCTCTCACTCACCCAGATTGCTGTGTTACGGTTGTTCCTTTCAGGTGCTATGCTAAGTCAAAAAACAGTGACAATAGGACATCAATAACAGAATTTAAGGTCATCTATCCACTTTCCCCCTCGTTCCCCTGACAAATTACTTGACTACTGCACAGCCACCTCCTAGCCTGCCAGGAATGTACAGCAGCACCCAACAGCTACATCTGACAGGCAACTTCTAGATTCAAAATTACCATTCTGATTAGAGTCAGCAATCTGAATATTACAACTGTACCATGCACAGAAAATGCAATTTCCAGCTTCATTTAGGGTCAGATGAAATCTGAATACTAATTGGTATTTACTATCATTTTATTGTAAAGATAATGGTTAATCTCATGTTCGTTAATCCTGTTAATTACTGAACATTCTTTTCTTTTAGCTTCTGCTATGCTGATCAAACTGCACTTTCAAAGCTTAATCACCTTATTTTTTTTTAAATGTGCACCATGGGTGGAAATGACATTGCATGGCATCATCATATTAATAAAATCATATTGCTCAACTTCAACTTCATTCCTAGTTGATAAATAAACATTAATAAAAATCAAGGGCCCCATGTAATGGTTCATTAACGAACTGAAGATCTGGTGCACTTGTCCCTTTGGACTTCAAAGACTTGACCCTCACAAGAAAAGCCTTTTTACTGTTCCATGTGGTTTTCATTCTATCTTGAAGCCTTCAAAAGCAAACTTCAAGTTTCACATAATCTGTACACAAAACACTTTGTTAATATCTAGCTGCTATCACAGGTTCCTTTTTCTATTTAAAAAAAAAGTACATCTCCTTAATATAAATTTGGCAAGAGAATGCTTTCATCCTATTGCTGTGTGCAGTTATTCACTGTTCTGAAGAGCTGAAAGCCTGCCAGCATTTGGTGCCAAAGGAGGCAACACTAATGGTTAAAATGCACAGGGAAGTGATACCTTCAGCAACTAACAACATGGTTTACATTAAAAAACGGGATTAGATGGAAGGGATTTTTGCATGTCCATGAACCATCTTGTGCTTTTAGTGGAGGGAAAAAAAGCACACAAGCTTTTAAAAAAAAATTCAAATTTCTAAAAATTAGGGCCTTGAATAAGGGTAAATGCTGGTAAAGAGTTGTGGGATTTCTCTCTACCAGCAGCTGAAGACTGCAGATAGAATTCACTTTGGAAATTGACAGTGTGTCTGCTCTAAAGGTTAACTAGAATGTTGTCTCATCTTTGTGCGTGCGTAATTGTAGATACGTTTACAAATATTTCCTGTACTGAAATCATAACATCTGTTGGTTTTTACAGTTTAGTTACAAGTCCCAAACCGCAATATTTGATGCAAACACATGATTTTGCCATATGTATTGCGTTCAGCAGTTTGGTGCTTGGTAATACCCTTTAAGACATTAATGTACTGTCCCTCATCATTCTAGCACATGGGTGACTCAAATAGCCACATGCTATCCATAAAAGAACTCGACAGTTCTGTGACTTGTGCATATAATTAAAGAGGGCACCCAACAACAATCAATGCCTTGTGAGTGAACTGTTCCTTTTTGGGTTTTTCAGTTATACGTTCTTTAAAGAACTTAATTTTTAGACGAAACCGATCTTAACACCTGTATATAAGTCATTCCATACTGTAGTTTTCAAAGTTAAAAGACTTCTTAGTGTATAATTTTAGAATTTTAAAACATAAGAAACAGGAGCAGGAGTGAGTCATTTGGCCTCTTGAACCTGCTCTACCAATTATTAATTTAATTTGGCAGACATGTTCGCTGCTATAGGGTATGTCTGCCAAAAGGACACAATGCAACCATCTGTGAAAGCAGTTCTTTGGAAATAATTAGCTGCTGGAGATAACTCCCAATTCGCACACTGAGAGTGCTACAAATACACCTGCTGCATCCAACTTGTGGAGCAATTGACACCTTCTATAAAAGGGCAAGGAACTGTCTTCAACCCAAGACAATGTCAAGGAGAACACCAAGTCTGATGGCCAGGATGGTACAGACCTCAGCACCCATTGTTTTGCTTTTGATGTCATTTAAAAAAAAAAACTTGGACAATCTAAGCACTGCCATTCACCAAACGCCGACCATCTTTTGTACTTTGAGAAGCTGTTCCTGGACGAGACCTCACTTCTGCTCAGCAGAGTCCTCAGTGCTCGGTTCAGGCTCTGGGCCAGGATCAGGATCAGCCAAAGAAGAGCCAAATGCATTCTGTACAATCTGAAACCCAAAGGACTCCAAGAGGGACATGTTTTGCTGGGGTGAAAAGGGTGAGCTTAGGCCACTGGGCAAGTCAGCCAGCGCACCTGCAGTGGGTTTTACATGGACCTTTAGCATATGCTTGTTCAGATAGGACTTGGATTTAAATACTGAGCCACACTCTGGACAGTTGTATTTCTTCGGTTCAGCGTACTGCTCGGCACTGGCCTCCATTTTCACTTTTCCGTTGTTGAGATCACATTGAAAAGACTCATCCTGGTCATGTTTCAGAGGCGACTTAAGGTCACTGATGTCAGAGAGATCACCAAAGGAGTCAGAGTTTTCCTGTGAGTCCTGATGCTGACACTTCAATCCATCCATCTCACCATCTGCAGAAACACAGCAAAATCAATGTTAGTCGCAGCCTGCAGTGGCATTAGAAATCAAACACAACATCCTCCTTAACTTCAGAGTCTCTGGCCCGCCTGTGGCCTTAAGGCTTGCTTCACTTTGCAGAATATGTTTTTGATCCAAGAGCTTTCCATTAATTTACGTACTGTGCATAGAACATTCACTAACAAACACTTCTTAAACCCAAATTAACTGTTTTCGAAGAGCTACAACATTTGGATTTGGTTGAAGGCAAACATCCCAGAATAATTATGCACTATTTATTTGTCCATGAGTTTAGACCTGAGGGAAAAATATTCTAGGCTCTCCCTTTTCTCTCCTCCCCAATGCTGTAAGCCTCTCAACCACCCAGAGTAAGCTATAGTGATGGCAGACGTGATAGGTTAGTGCAACCAATCTAGCATGGGAAGTTTCCAATATTAGTTAGGTACCAGAATAAAGTGCAAGGGAAAAGCCACAAGGAGAAAAATTGAGAATCCGAGATTAAACTTATGGGGCCACTCGTACTACAATATCATTACTACAGCAACACGGGGATCTACAGACAACAAAGCTGGTCTCAGAGTCTTAACAATAGATTACCTTTTTTCATAACTGGGTAAATATTCACGAGAAATTAAAAGCAATGTTTTAAAACAAAGCTATATACACTAAAATGAACATATAAAATAAACAATACATTCACAGCTACTAGGCATAATGTGTCAATGGAGGCCTGCTACATACTGTGGGAAGCTTGCGAGGAAAATCAGAATGCAGCTTTTTAATGACGACTACCTTTCAGGTTCACTCAACCTGAAGCAATACAATTTAAAAGTTGGTGTGTGAATGTGGATAATAACAAAGTAAAGCAGAATACAAGTAGGATGAATTAAAATAACTCACGAAGCCTCATCTGAAAACATCAGTTTTAAATGAGCTGGACTATTTTTACATGCTGCAAGTAACTTCATATTTTTTGACCATCCTTTCTCTTCAAGTGTTAGTGACATTGATAATTGCTGGTGACAACAGCTCATGAGACATCACTTCCTCACTTCTAATCACAAATATTTGGGACAGCTCAAGTTTTGTTTTAAATGGCATACGCACTGAAAAGCATTTATTCAACATCATTAAAACAAAAGCCCACAACTTAGCATCGTTTTAAAACCAAATTTCAAAAGGTTGTTTTTCTTCCCCAATATTGGCGATAATTCTTCAAAAGAAATTACAGTATTAAATTTGGTTAGTGAATAGTTTAAGCACATTCTCAGAAAATTGCTCTGTTCCCAACTTGGATGATGATTGACCCATTTAAAGCAGACAGTTTAAATTTGTCGCAGACTACTACTGGAAGGAATTACAAACAAGCGTGCACCTCATTGTGCGATTTCAATTCCTATTGGTTAAACTACCTTCACTTTATAGTTAGTTCACCTCAACTTCAGCTATCTCTTCCAAAGTCTAATCAGTCCTTTGTCACACAGAGCAGTTGGATCTCATTCAACATTTTTTATAAGAGGCATTCTTAGAAAGGCATGACGTGACAGTTTTTCTCTGCTCAACTGAACAATATACATCTCTCCTTTGTCCAAGCTGTTGCATGGGAACGTGAGCAGGTGTTTCCCTGTCACATAGGGAATTAGTGCAATATCGCTGGAGCCATTGAGAGCTGAATGCAAGATGGCAACCATTTGGAATTAAATTTCAAAAGTGCTATCACAGTCAGATGAATGCAACAAGCTCTATGATAAGATCAGCTTCTTTGATTTTGCATGAACTGGGCCTCACATTATGTTTAGTTTTTAATTTGTGACCCATATTATACAAGTGAAACATCCCAACGCTCATTCAAATACACTGCTTTAAGTTGGGGGTTTGGCAGTGAAACATTGGAAGGGCTGAAATAATTCCCTTTTAACAGTACTGTAGTACCCATTACAATTAATTAGGAAAGACGTTGCCTAGCGCAGCACTAGTTTTAGGGTATAACTTTGACTGCATACATTTCCTAGCATTTGACTGTCATTACAATGCCCAGTGAGAGGGTGGAGTGAGCAACAATGACTCCTACAGCCTTAGAAGGCAGGAGGGGGGACAAATGCCACAATACTGCTCACACAATGCTATCCACAGGCCTCTACTCATAAGCGCACAAGCTTGACCAGCAAAGAACAACAGGGAATGCTCGCTGCTGCAGACACTGTATAATATCTGCTGACAGAAAAAAACAACTGAGGGAGGAAATGAAACTTCATAGACCACAGACGTTGCTATCTTCTCTGCAAATTCTATATCAGGATTCTGCAGTATGGTCACTACTATTGGGATGATAGATAGGATAGCACAGAAAAGTTTGAATTGGATAGTGTGGGAGAAATCAGGCCCTTTGTCCAAATGCCATGAATGTTTGCTTTGAATAAAATCTACCTATTAACACTACTGTAGTCTGCACTGTTACTGTGCTCTTGGCTTTGCCTGCTGAGGTCTCCAATCACATCAGCGTAGATTCCATTATCAATCACTGCACTCACATTAGCATTTTGTCAGCAACATTTCCCCTTCCCCTCTTCTCCAAGTTGTTGAATGATATTTCTTGGCTCCAGTCATTCTCCACACAGAAACAACCCTCTATAATGTTGTGTTATAAGCAACCAGAGACACAGAGGCAGCATTTTTTTTGTTAGCTATTCTCAAGGATATTTTGTTCCTCTGCTCATGAAGAGATTAACACACACTTAAAAAAAGTTGTTCCGGACAGACTGTTGGGGTTGATAACAGCACCAGGTAAGGGAACTCTCAAATACATACCTGTGCCGTCACTCCCCATCACACAGATAAGAACTCAAGTATTAATCTAACCGCTCATAACATAATCCCCTCAGTAAAACATTTATTCCTCAGCAGGTACCAGTACAGATTTACAATAGGATTTGAGTCAAACAATGACTACTTCTGCATCGACCTGCCCACTCACACAATACAAAGAATGATGGCAGTTGGCTTGCCTTGTAACGAGCGTGTTCTGTCAAAGTGAAAAGCCATCTCCCCGCTCTGTGTTTGCTTGTGAATCGTGATCTGAGGCTGGGGCTTGCATCGCCTTTCACAAGGGTCAGAGGTGTGCGAGTTGGGCAGAGGGACACCATGGTGGGTTTTAATATGGACCCTTAAGTAGGAAGCAGTAGAAAAACCTGAGGAAAAAGACAGAAGAGATTCTGTCACTCCGTCAGATGAAACCCAAACTCTTCCAAGTCTTCTGTACATTCAAAATTAGAATATGCCACCAGTCTGATCTCTAAGGGGGCTGCTTATGTCCAATACATTTTCGTCTGAGCAGCTCTCCCTTCTCACTTTCCCCCTGTATACATGACACTTATCAAGCTGACTGCTTTGACTTGGGAGAGAAAGACAGTTGTGCTGTCACTAGGCTTTAGCACATTTTATTGGGCACGGGGGAAATACAAACTACTACATTCTCATGCTTTCGTGGCACTTTTGCCCTCAAGCTGGTCTCAGCAAGGCAATTACAAATGGGACATGCACAATCAGCACTTTAATACACCAATGTTTTACAGCCCCAATTATTCATTCCAAATACAACTCAAGATTGGACATGCAAAGTCCAAATGTGTAAAATACTTTCCCAAACCGATACAGTGCGCTGAACAGTTTGCTTTCCATCTTAATTTCTCTTTAAGCAACATGCCTAAGCAAAATCTACCAGCAGACATCCCCTGGATCCAGGAATAGCGAATACAGGAAGCCACTAACAAGTTCCTTGTGCTAAACATATCAGTCGAATGGCAGGCTTTGAACTACTATTAGTGAGAATGGTCCTTGCTAAAGAGGTTCAGGACAAGCCAACAACCTCCACCAATGGGGTCTGATTTCGAACGCCTAATGCACTTAAAGGACACAAAACAATGCAGCGCACTGCACAGACGTGTCCCATCTACAGACTCTAAGTGGTAGATTAATCATCTTAAACTCAGTAAATGAGGGAATGATTGTTTGGCTCCAGGGATTTACATTCACTAAGTACAAAGTGAAAAAAAGCTCTGAGTCAAGGACGGCCCTTCAGTCCACTTCTTTAGATTAAGTTTATATTTTTGAATATCTAACTAGAGGGATCACTATGTGGAAACCATGTTGGGTGGGCAGAAGTGGACAGTTTCCAATTTTAGCCGGGTCACCTGTTGGTACATGGCATGGGATGGAGGTTCGATGTCAACCTAAAAGAAAATCAATTACAGTAGTTTTCCCTTAGTCCTTGCGATCCAACAGAACAGGCAGATGCTGTCAGAAGCTTGGTTTATCTGACCATTCAGTAGACGGCTGCATACAGAATGTAAACACGTAGGCATTAAGTAATTACAAGGGTACAGAACTGGACTTTGGTTTGAGAAACTTGACTCTGAACACAAAATTTCAAATTGGATTTGCACTGAGGCAAACAAATCCTTCCATCCCAGATCAAACTGCATGCCCGTTGGAAAGTTGGGAGTGAACTGGTTACGATCAACCCATCCTAGGTGATCACCATCCAAACCACACTAAAACGCACATTAGTTCAGAGATTCAGCATGGTGATCTCTGCAAAACTGACAGTTCAATACTTCTTTCTAAAGTAGTAGTGGAGTTGCATGAGCAAGAGTAGAAAGAAATAAGGCTAGAAAAATGAAACAAAAAGAAAATACATACTGAATAATATACTGTGGCAGCAGAGTTAATAAATTGAACCACAAATAGCAACTGTAAAAATCCTACAGTGATTAACTATCCAGAACAGGCCATCTGATAATAGTTGGCAGTCATTAACAAAAATGGAACTATTGAACATGAGTGAGTTGATAGAACAGCCAGCCACCAGCAACAGCAAGCAAAAAGAAGCCAAAAGCAAAAAGACATTGGATATTCATAACCAACTCAACAGCCAAAAAGACAGCAAGCCTCACTAACGAGCAAGTTCAGCTCACTTACAGTTCAGGCATTAGTAGCCCCAGTATTATTACCATGCGATGGTAGGATAGCCTGCAGAGGGTCACGTACTAACAACTGGCAGTTCAGTGGAATATCAGAAAGCAGTCAGTGCTTGTGGGACCTTAGCACAGTACAGTGAATGCCTTCAAAGAAAGGATGAGATCAAACTGGTGGAACTGAGGTAATGGTGTGGGGTGGGGGCACATGCTTACCTTTTAAAAAAAAAATTGTTCATGGGATGAGGGCATCATTGATCGGACCAGAATTTATTGCCAATCCTTAACTGCATGGAGGGCACTTGTCAACCACATTGCTGTGGGTCTGGAATCACATTTAGACCAGACCAGGTGAAGACGGTATATTTCCTTCCCCAAAAGGACATTAGAGAAGCAGATGGGTTTTTATGACGATTAAAAACGGTCTGTTTCAAGGTCATCATTATTCTACCTAGCAGCTCTGCATTCACTCACTTCACATAGCCATGCAATGACTCAGGATTAATGCAGTGCAATCTGTATCTTGACCAGTAGTCAAAGACTTTGCTCAGACTATGTATTCTTATCAATCTACATCATTTACGTTCAAGGAAAATCTCATATTCATCACACATTGGTTTGAGTAGCTTGACTGTGAACACAGAATTTCAAATTGGATTTGCACTGTGTCAAACAAATCCTTCCGTCCCAGGTCAAACCGCACTCCTGGTGGAAAGTTGGGAGTGGCTAAGATCAACCCATCCTAGTGCTCACCATCCAAACATGCTTGAACGCACGTTAGTTCAGAGATTCAGTGCGGAGATCTCGATAATTCAATATTTCTGACTAAAGCATTAGTGGAAATGCATGAGCAAGAAATGAGAAATAAGGCAAAAAAAACTGAAATAAAAAGAGGTTCACCTGATCTCTGTAATGCATCAACTAGCCAATGTTGTATTTGCACTGTTCTTCATTAAACTGGACCTCACACTGCACGGTTTATCCTTGATTTCTTTTGTGTTGCAAAATAAACATCAGCTAGACAGATTTATCTGGAAAAGCTTGCTTCCTCTGAAACTGGATCACTGTTGACATGATCATCTAAATAATTTCTCTCAAAAGTCCTACACTGACCCTTCAAACACTGGAAACACACGCTGTATTGCTCTCAGCATCCTGGTTATAATTATCAAACAGGTGCTTTACATCACATATTGGATAAAAATACTATCACACTCAAAAATCATGACTTGGTTCACCATAAAAACTTAATTCCAAGGCAACATGATGGCTAATATTGGAAAGAGAAAGGTTATCAAGTTGGCAAAATAGAGGCGTTCTTGTAGATTGGGGCCAGAAAGCATTCTTGTGGTTATGTAGATTGACTTTTATACCTAAAAGTCACATATATAATCTAAGAACATTTGGGGTAACCCAAAGAAAATGTTGCATTGTGAACATTGCTCAGCATAGAAAGATTACCAGATTTCACGGGTATAAAATTTAATTAAACAGGGAGATGGGAGGTGGGCAACAAAGATGTTTTACAACACATATTGGCTGTAAACAGAACTTGAGATGTAAGAGTGTCACTTTTCCCCAGAGTAACGATAAACTTCGTAACATAATCAAATGTTTGTCTTTGCGTAAACTTATGGAGTGAAACTGGTGAAGAGAATAGGTACAGCTGATGCCAAACGGCTTTTTAGATTTAACACCATTCTTCTGGTTCTGAAAATAGCAAACAACCACCCCTGGAATAAAAAAAAGAAGAGTCTGACCAAGAGTCTTGTCACACTGGATGAGTTCGTTAGAAGTTGCGTTGTAGAAGGTGACCCTGCAGAACAGCAGCAACACCAGTTATAGAGTGAACTTGCGTGGCAGTCAAATCTAAACAGTGACGCTCAGTAATCATCAGTTTGACCATACACAGCAGCACTTAAAGCTTAGAGAAGCCCAGAAAATAATCATGAAATTATCTATACTTACTGAGCTGCTGCTTTCTAAGATGGCGGCAGTACAGAAAGCACACAACGATCCAATTTGCTTTCTTCTATCTGCCACCTATTGTGTACTTTCGCTGTAGGAGTTACATCATTATAGAGACTTTTGATATTTTTCATGAAAGGGACGTAGTAAGCACAATTTCTTGATCTAAATGAAACTACAGCAACTGAGAGCTCAAAGGACTTCCCATTAAAATGGCAAATTCAAGGATTTTCAGCGCACCAATCTGTAAATCAAATACTACCAATAATAGAACTGAATGGATGATATGTACATGGAGAAATATGGAGAAAATAAATTATGGTCCTAACTGAACCTTGGGGCTGGTTAGTTCAGTTAACTAGATGGCTACAGCGTGGATCAGATCAATGTCAACACTGTGACGTTTGACCCTCTCTCTCTAGTTGAAATGGGCTTAGGGTGTGTCTCCACAGTCCAGTCTTTGGGAAAAAATCATCGTACACTGCTTACTTGCGGTGAATAATTGCCAAGGACCTGCCTTCAGGCAGAGAACTTAAGAAAAATAAATGAGGACCTGTGTAGGCGGATTGGCAATCATTTTTAAATTTCTCATAAACAGGACACCAACAAGCAATACTGCAAATCCAATCTTAAAGATCTTACAGCACTACCTTGACTGATTAAGGCAGTTATCCTCAAAGTCACAAGAACAGATTACCTGATCATTATCACAAAGCTGTTTGAGAGAGTTTGCTCTTTGCCAATTGGCTGTTGTGTCTTCTACATTATAGCAATGACTCTGACTTCAAATACACGTCATTTGCTGTAAAGTGCTTCAACATGTTTGGTGGTAATGCAAAATGTTATATAGTAAATGCAAGTCTTTAACACAAAGAACAAAACGTGCACTGGTCAGTTTGGAGACAGCTAGCATTTACAACAATGCAACCTGAAAATTCTGTTCCAATTTTAAGAGCAAGAGTGATACAAGAAGAACAATGAGACAACAACAACAAATCTGCAGAAAAATAATCTTGTGTATTCTAGGGTATTTTTAGGATAAATCACAAGATTTGTAGGGTGATAGAAGTCTTACATCATGCACAACTGTATAGTACAGTATTGTATTTATCAATTAAAATGAGGATGAAAACAGAATGCCTTTACTATTTTCCATCAACAGCACTTAGTTGCTGTGAAAACTACAACTTGAAATGATGGGGTAAAGACAAAATAAATCTTAGGCTAAATAAACTAAATGAATCACATGCTCAGCATTGAAGCTGACAGATGAAATCACAAGTCAATCAAATTCTAGTTTCCAATTTCTTGATATTTCACAGGATGGACTAGTAAAATCATGCGGCCTTTTCAACAAGTTTCCATATAAAAATCTTTACCTTCACCCTCAGCTGGTCAAAACATCCAACTGTTAATTGCTTCTTAAACATCCCATAAGACTTTGGCACAAAAAGAATAAAACAAGGTCTAACCTTAGAAGTAAGCCACTTTGAAAAAGAAAACAAAGTAAACCTATAGTAGTCAGTTTATAATTGCTCCATGTCGATACAATTCTTGAAATATTTAAGGCTATAACCAAACTCAATTTCAGCACATTTTTGATTAATATCATCAGATTCCCATTTATTTACCAGTTTTCCAATGGCAGTTGTTTACCGATTGGTAAATTTTCTACTTTTCTATCAACAATGTGCAGTTAACAATGATTTCCAAATTCATTTTTGAGATAATTGGGTTTAAGTATGATAAATAAGTTACATTTGTGACACTTTATAGTACTGTATGTATTCCACGGGGAGGCCAGGCTCATGCTAAACATACTGCTTAATTAGAGGTTACTAACATCTTTCCAAGTACAGAAAAATTTAGTTGTCTTTTTCAACTTTACCATAAAACACTTCACAATTAAGCCATGATGCAAATTATTGCTAACTTTTACTTTGGCTTTATTATGAAAAAAAATTTCCTCAGAGATTCAAAGGTCATCTCAATTGGAGCAACTTTAAATGAGGTAAACAGGACAGCAAACTGGGCTAAATTTTAAGTGACTGCACTTTAATCCTTGAATTATTTTTTTAAAAGTTACCTTTGTTACAGATGTTGCAGATGTTATTTGGTCCTTCATTATGCTTTTTGACATGATCAGTCATATAAGCTGCACGTAGATATTTCCCACACACCTGACAGGGGACTTTCTCCTCATGGCATGTCAAGTGAGAACGCAGGCGGTCTTTGGTCGCAAAGGAAGCTTCGCAGGTCTGTGGGAACACGTGAACAAAAAGGAAATCATTCTGGTTGCCTGACAGTACCAGTGGCATTAGCTGTGACTCCGTTAGTCACACTTTTGCCCCTGGGCCAGAAGATTGAGAGTTCAAGATCAACTTCAGGAACTGAGCACAAAAATCAAGCCTAATACTCCCAATGCAATGCTAAGGAATGCAGTGCAGCTGTAAGGGTAGTCTTTTGGATGAAGCATTAACCAAGTCACAACCTGTCCTCTCAGGCTGACCTTTTATTTATTCATTTTTCAGATAATGGGCATCACTGGGCAGGCCAGAATTTATTGCCCATCCCTAATTGCTCCAAGAAGGTAGTGGTTGAGAAATAGTAGGAACTGCCGATGCTGGAGCATCTGAGATAACAAGGTGTAGAGCTGGATGAACACAGCAGGCCAAGCAGCATCAGAGGAGCAGGAAAGCTGACATTTCAGGTCTGGACCC